TGGAATATATGCCCTGTGCATAAAGGGGGACTACTATATCTTTTTTTATGCAAATTACATATTCAGAAGTGTTGCTTGCCAAAGGCTTTCCACATCTTCACCCTGAGCTAATTTACCCATCTGCAGAGTTTCATAAAGAGAACTGTCTGCGATTGCTACATTCACTTCAAAAACCCTGGCCACCACCATTCATTCCCTTGAGAACTCTGAAAAGCCACATTTCACATATTAAGGCTTTTACAAAGAAGTCCTACCAATTAGCCTGGCTCCCCAAATGTGGGACCTAAAAGAATTAGGCCTAGGAGAAATCAAAATGTACTTGAGACATTTTTTAAAATTTCATTGTTTCTGGTATTCTTCTTGGAGTAGCTCATGCCCTTTGCCTGCAGATGTGCTCCATGCCAACATTGGTTACCATGATTGGGATGAACAGGAGAATATTGTCAGGATGGTGTGTCTTTAAAATAGGTTTGCTGAGAATACTTCATTTGTAACACTCAATTTTTTTTATCCTGCTAAATGCATGTTTATAAGAAGACATATGCAAATTTGAGAGAGACAGAATTTGTGTGGTTGGTCTGATGAATTATCACAGAGCACCCCTTCAATGACCTGGGCAAGTCTGTGCAGTATGTGAGAACGTACCTGGCACCCTGAGAAAACATATTAAATTATTCCAAGAATCTGCTTTATAAGACTTGTTTAACTCCTATCTGCTTGGAACAGGAGTGTCCCATTCTACATAGGAAATCCTTATTTGGATCTAATCTGTATATTGATATTTTGTTAATGTACTTTATTTTTTTTAATAAAAAGGACTATTTAAACTTCTTATTAAAAATCTTTTTCTGTGTTCGACAAAACATAGGCTTGTCTTAAATTTTATCTCTTGTTGTTTAAAGTTTGTAAGGTGTTCTGACAATAAAGATTTAAATTTGATAAAGATGGACTGAAGAAAGATGATCTCCCGCAATAATCAAGAGTCCTTTGTATATAGGTAAATAGCTCTTAGAATAACATTGGTTCACCTGCAATTCTTATAAGTTCCAAAAAACTTAAGGTTTTGGAGATTTGGGCAGCAAAACTTGACCTAATCTGAACAAGACTACTTTTTCCTTTCTTTTTTTCTTTGACTTTGTGTTCATGTTTTCCTGCAGAAACATTTATGTATTGATTACGGAGTGGTGCAGGTATTATGTAAGTTTATGTACCGCACTTCTTTTCTAAGCTATAAAGTAACTTAGTTTCTGAAACACATCTGGCCAGAGAATTCAGACAAGGAATTTGGACCTATAAAAATCATACCATTTGGATAACTTTACATTTTTCTTTAGGGTTCTATCTCAATGTTTTCATTTCTTATCAGGAGAGTCCATTTAGGTATAGTATTTATGCAAAATTTGTACCTGGTTGCACTGAGGATGGACTCTGTTCCCTAGAAATATGTATTTTTTTTCTTACCAATTCCTCCCACCTTTGTAACTACTGGGTGCTTTACCCACATCCTCAATTCAGTTCAGAGCATATTGTTTGGCTATTCCTCCTGGCACTGGAGTAGATGCTACAAGATAATGCAGGAATGAGTATGGTATCATGACCCACTGAGAGCAACCTGGTTGCTGATGTAGACATGTAAAGAATATTCATGGAAGGTTAAACGTCATAAAGGGAAGAGTTTCAAAATGCTGAGGGATGTAAAAGGAAGAATAACACACAGTAAAGGAAACTGCACAGAGGAGGTGGTATTTGAGCTGACTCAGTTGAAGGGTGTTGAAATCTTCATGTGAAGAAGGTAGAAATGCTATTCCAAAGCTTTCTATGGGTTAGAGAAGCCCTGACTTTATTTTTTTAAAAGATACTAATACATAAAGAGAAGGAAAAAAAAAGGAGAAATTTCAAAACAGGTTTCCAAAAATTGAGGTATATTTTAGTGTTTACTTTTAATGCTTTTTGCATAGACATTGCAATGGAATAAAACTGTGGCCATAAGATAACTGCTGAATTGCCAAAAAAAAAGTTTTTGTCTAGTTGTCTTTAGGAGGAGGATCTGGTTTACAGTGGTATAGTGAACATGATTTTTGAATCTTATCAGTTACCCCTGACTATATATATTCACTATCTGGTGATGAGGTAAATATCTAAGCTTCAGGGTGCATATGGAAGTGAGACCAGTATGAAAGAAAAACTCTGAGTCCCCTGATATCTGTCACCAGCCCTCCTCTTTGTTGACCCTACAATGGTTTGGAGGAATACAGGCAAGGAAAATGGCATGGGCAGAGGCAAGGATGTGTGACAGTATGGAAATGTCCTGGGAGAAGGGGCGCAAACTGTATGGAGCTATGCTCAGTAATGTGTGAACAAGCTTTGCTTTTTATCATTTTTGTGCCCTTTCATATGCTCACCACCTCTTGCACGTAATGTTCTATTCTGCTCCTGACATCATCCCAGAAAGAAAAAGCTGTCTTTGTGTTGTTCTTATTAGACTGTTATGTTAGATCAGCTATTACAACGATTGTGGTGTCTTGTAATAATTCCAATATATTTATGTCTCTCTATTTAGGGAATGAGCCTCTTTGTAAACCTAGGAACTAACATAATTATTAGTCTGTTATAACTATCAGTCAAGTAAGTGAATGTACAAAAGTTGAATTTCTTCAAAACCAAGTGGGTGATGTTGACTTGGATTTTATTTTGCACACCTACCATTCAAGTTATGCTGCATTATGCTTCAGTAACAAGCAATTCCCAAATTTTGCTGACTTCTTTGCTGCCCACATCATGTGTCCAGTGTAAGTCAAAAAAGGGCTCTGTCCCTTGTCCTCTCTTAGGCATCTTGGGTAGGGAGACCTCATCTTGATGCGTTTCTATAATGATTATGTTATTGGCTTATGGAAAGTCACTGCTTCCTAAAGATTCTGCCCTTTGTCACATCCACTCATGTGCACAGACTGAAGCAATTCACATGACCACAACTACTTTCAAAGCCGGTGGGAAAGAACAGCTGTATTCTGGAAGATCAAGAGCCAGAATTATCAGGTCAAGAGTAGTAATGACAACTTCAATAGGGAACAGAGAGTCACGCAACGTTCTTTTAAAAATAGAAAACCAGAAACATATGGCTGCGAATATAGATAAAGTGTGAAGGAGTGCATAGATTATCTGAAATTGGGTGCCTGGGGAAAGCAAGCTGGGAGACACATTGGACTAACAGAGAGCTGAAGTTTAGGGATCTCTTAGCAGTCCTTGCATTGAACTGTGCATTCACATTAAGCAAGATACTTATTCTGGCTTCGCTTCAGTACCTCTAAGGGGAAAAGCGATACAGCGATGGTAATGTATACTGCCTTCCTGTTAGTCTGAGGGTTAATGAAAGTTGGGGGATGAGGCACTTAACTCCCTGTTTTCTATTCAATTCTGGAGAGAGCTGCCTGTTAAACAAAACGAGCCTTTTTCTTTGAGTCCACAGTACATTTCCACAGTGACAAATTTTGCCAAGCTCACCAAAATTTGAGCTAAACCTGAATAATAAGTTGACCATTTATTTTATGAGTTGGATGTGCATCCTGCCGGGTTTCCAAGTGGTTATGACAACAGAATCCCTCATCTGTAATATCCATCCACAACCCTCATCTATAGCTCCCTTGTTTGTTCTGAAGATAATATATTGATTGAACCTCTTTCGATGGCATTCTCTCCATGCTTCTCACATGAGGAAGAGTTACTGCTGCCTTCCCTGGGAGATCTAACACGACCGCATTTTTACACATGTTATTTACTGTACACATTCTAATATCAAAACGGTCAGTTCATTTATAATCTTTATAATGTGCCTTAGAGAATAAAGAGACTGTTACACGTTTTGTTTGTATGGGTTTTTTTTTTCTTTCTTTAGCATATAAGTTTTTCTTTACAACTCATTAATTGATCTTGTGTCCATGAATAGTTAACATTAATTATGCACAATTAGCATACGATAATGTATGACAAACATTTCAAGCACATATTAGACAGCATAATTATGTTGAATATTATTGCATTCAGCTATGTAAATCCACAAAATATGATGGATGGTGCATTCATCTCTATTGAATCCATTTACCTGGTCTAGAGTGATGATTTAAAAATGAACACAGTTGAAAATAAAGGCACCTAGGCCAAATACTGAGAAGCACTAAAGCATATTTCCAAATAGCAAGAACTGGAGGTCAGTTGACCAGTTCCTTTGCTTTTAGCTAGAAGATTATTTAAGATGCACATTGTAGGATTTCAGAGATCAATTTAAAAATCCTTCAGAATTCAAGGGCTGTGTTATGTAAAGTGTTTTGACAGGCAAAATAATTCCTTTTTAAACAAAATTCACCCTGCTCTGTAGGCTTACCGAGGAGAACAAAAACATCTATGCATAATACAACAAACAACTATTTTAGGCATATATAGAATGTAAGGTGTTTAAGAAGCTGGAGAGCCCTATAATATTGTGCTGTTGGCCTAAGAGCACAGGATGAAATCAAGTGAGGGAAATAAGGCTTGGATAATTGTCCTCACCTGCTAGAATTATTATCAATAGTTCACCTGCCTTCTCAAATGCTGTTTTGTTACAGCATTTGAGTTTTCTATTCAAGTGAAACAACATAAACAAATAGGCTGTGATTGAACTTTGACTTGCCAGTTACAAATTCACTATTTGGAAAGTTGATTAGTCTTGCGACTTGCTTTAAACACACACACACACAATTCACAGTAAAAACAATCTTATGTTACCTAGGTTGTGAGCATAGAATATTGTTCTATTCTCTGTTGTCACACAAACCAATTTTTTTGTACCTGGACTAGCTCCAGCTATGAGGCTGAGGCAGATCTTAGGCTCTCTTTGTGTCTCTCTGCCCACCCCCCTCTTCTTTGTGTCCTCACATTAACTTTGAGGAATCCATCTTGAGAGCTCTTGGCTGATTTCTATTTTAAGAAGTGAGTTCAGTCTTTATAATTAGTCCCCAGTTTGTCTGAAATCCTCTCAGGCATTCAAAAGATTCCAAATATCCTAAACAAGTACTCCTCGAAAATTTCCACTGAAAAATCTCTTAAGGCAAAAGAAAGATGTCTTACCGTTGGGGGCCTGGGACCCTGACTCAAAGAAGGTAATGTATTTGAAGTCTTTGTTTTTGATGAAAGTTTTATATATACTTTGTATTTTTCCATATCATACATCTAAACTGTTTTTTTTTTTTTTTTTTTTGGTTATTTTAGTTTGTGGTGCTGGGGATTGGACTCAGGGCCTTGCACATGCCAGGCAAGTGGTCTTACACTGAACTACATCCCCAGCCCTCTGATTTATTTTTTAATAAAAACAACCTTAATATTTTATTTTTTTGTGATACTGGAGATGGAACCCAGGGTCTTGTACATGCTAGGCAAGCACTCTATCACTGAGCTACCCACCCAGACCTTTTTAATTAATTAAATTTTTTTTTTTTTTGAGGCACGGTCTCATTAAAGTATCCAGACAATCCTCCTGCCTCAGCCTCTTGAGTAGCTGTGAATACAGATAGGTAAGGTGCTTGTCTAAAGGCCTTAATATTTTCTTCAAAAAATTTTTTATTTGTGCATTAGAATTATACACGATAGTGAGATTCATGATGCCACATTGGTATATGCACATAATTTGATTCCTCTCATTCCCTAGTCTCTTCCTTTTCCCTTCCCCATTTGTTTTCTCTACTGTATTGATCTCTCTTCTATTATTATTATTATTATTAATTAGTGTTTTATAATTATACACACACTTGGGGGATTTATTTTGCTATATTCCTACATAGACACAGCATAGTTTAGTTGATTTAATTACCCAGTATTTTCTCATGCCCTTCCCTCCTTCATTCCTCTTGGTCTCCTTACTCTATTTTAATGAGATTCCCCCTCCCAACTTTTTTTTTCTCTCTATTTTCTCTCTAACTTCCATATATGACAGAAAATATTTGGCCCTTCACTTTCTGAGTCTGGCTTATTGAACTCAGCATGATGTTCTCCAATTCCATCCATTTACTTACAAATGACATAAGTTCATTCTTCTTTAAGGCTGAGTAAAACTCCATTGTATATGGATACCACATTTTCTTTACCCATTCCTCTGTTGATGAGCACCTATGCTGGTTCCATAGCTGGCTATTGTGAATTGCACCACTACAAGCACTGGTATGCAGGTATCACTAGAGATGATGATTTTAGATTGTTTGGATAAATACCAAGGAGTGGGATAGCTGGGATATGGTGTTTCCATTCCATCTTTTGAGGGAGCCACATACTGCTCTTCCAGAGTGGTTGTACTGATTTGCATTCCCACCAACAATTACTAAGTGTACCTTTCTCCACCACATCCTCACCAGCAATTGTTGTTCTTTGTATTCTTGATGACTATTATTCTGACTGGAGTAAGATGAAATCTCAGTGTATTTTTGATTTGCATTTCCCTGATTGCTAAGAAGTTTGAACTTTTTTTTTTAATTTGTTGACCATTTGTATTTCTTCTTTAGAGAAATGTCTATTTGGAACTTTTGTTCATTTGCCGATTGACTAATTTGTTTTTCTGACCTTATTTTAAATTGTTTGTCATTGAGTAAAATGGATGGTCTAGGAAGATAAGCTTTGAACATTCCCTAACATACCATTCAGTGTTCTCAGAGGTACTGATTTTCAGAACGGAGGCCTCCTCTCTGTCATAGTAAGTCTTTTGATAAAACAGGCTAAACTAATTATTAAATGTTTGCAGTTACAAACAATGCTGCAAAGCAAATGTCCATCAATAGGGAACAGGTAAAATTTCCATTTTGTCACATCTAGTCAGTAAGTCCCAGGCAACTGTTTAAAAGGATAAATAAATCTACTGTGCTGTATGCAAATAATGCCCATACTGTGTCAAGGGAAAAAGTCACTGAATGGTATTATAGTGTAATCCCATCAAAATATCTGTAAAAAAGTTTTTAAAAGCTTTGTATGGCTTTGGATTTGGCAAAATTTTATTTTTCCATGGGAATGCATTATTTATTTATTTTTGTATCAAGTATGGATTACTGCAAATCTAAAACAACAAATATAAACTATTTTGAAAAAGGAGAAAAGCTTTGCACAGATGGACCCATGGTAAACTGAAACCGATAGAAACAAACACTGTTTATTCAAAATTTTTCTTGGAGATTTGAATAATCTTAACACTAAAAGGAAAGATAGATTCTTGTGTTCTGCACAAATTAGGAATTCTTTCTTTCTACAATACCACTAATTAATATGGACTCATTTTTAATGATTCTACATGATGCCTTAATACCATTTATGGCAGAACACTTAGAATATATAGAAGAGAATTAAAAAGAATAAATACCGCCCCCCCCATTTCTACAATCCAGAGATAATCTAAAGAGTTTTTCACAAATTGAGCACAGTCTGGGCTTTTGTTCCCATTGGTTTTTATACTTTTTTGTTTTTTAAATCTATTTGTGAGAACACATCTGCTCCCTCAGTTAGAGGTGACAGCATTTGAGTCAGGAAAAGATAGCTTTTACATTTCTCTTTAATCTTCCCTAGATTACACAAAAATGGGATTTTTAAATGTTCCTCAAAGCACATAATTTCCTTTAGAGGCTCAGAAGTTTGACAATTGCTCATCTTAAAACCTGCTCCAAAAGATTGCCATCTTCTAAATAAGGTTGACCATCATGGAGAGCAGAACATATTTGGGGATCTAATTCAAAATGGGAAATTTTCTGGAAGTCTTATATTTTTCCACAAAGGGAAATATGCATTTTTGTATTCCTAGGAATATCTATATTTTGTATTAAAAATTAATATATTGAACTACATGTCAAATAGTTGGTTGAGTCAGAAAACCTTATTGTGCCTTGGTCCTGAATATTCCCTGACAAACTGACACAATGCCATCCTAAATGTTATGTTTTCAGAGGCAGTTGCCATGGAATTTTGGCTCTGTTGTCCTGAAAATGAAGTTCAAATACTATTCTCTTAATCATTGAGTAATTCAACACACATTTTCTACTGCATATGAGGAACCAGGATATTGGTTCTTGACAATCTTAGGTTCTGCCATCTCAGAAGTTACTGTCAAGAGAGGGAAACAGCAGGGCAAAGTGACTCTCATCTGAAATCCCAGCTATTAGGGAGGCTGAAGCAGGAGGATCACAAGTCCAAGGCCAGCCTGGGTAAATTAGTGAGCCTCTGTCTCAAAATAAAACATAAAAAGGGCTAGAGATATAACTCAGTGGTAGAATGCTCAAAGGAGGTTCCCTGGAGGAAGCACAACCTACATTCAGATTCAAAGAATTAGCCAGAGCATTAGGGAGGGCGGGAAAGGGGTGCTCCAGGGTGCTGTGGTTATAAGCACAATGCCAGGGGCAACAGAAAGCTAGCACATTCAAGGAGCTGACAGACGGTGAGTAGGCCAAGAGTGGAGTTTGAGGTGAGGAGTGGAAGGTGTGCTGTGTGAAAGGACCACGGAGTCCAAATGTGAAGGACCTTAAGAAACTCGGTAATGAGTTTAGACTTTGTTCTAGAGCACAGGCGAATACACAAAAGGTTTAAAGCCAGAAAAGAGATTGGAGTTGGTCCACCAGACTGGAGGTACAGAGGCTACCCTAAGACATTGATTTATTTGGATTTTTCACAGCTTTAATGAGGACAAGAGCATGTATCTGAAGGATTGCCAGGGGATTTGGATGGTATATTAGAAATAAAAAAGCTAGATCAGTGTCTAGCCTATGTTAGAAGCCCAACATTATCTCCTGGTCCCTCAGGAATCTACAGTTTGTATTTTTGGTATCTGATTTGTTATAAAATGTTGATAATTGAATTGATATTGAATTGCTACATGATCAACTATAGTAAGACCCACGTGGTCATCAATAAATGACCATGCCTATCAGTGAAAGGGTAATCTATGTTCTCACACAAATTATTGGAATCGTAGAGCACATATTAGCTTCCATGGCTACTGGGAAATCATTGGACACTTTTTCATAGCTTCTTGTCTCTAAACTATGTAAATGCATTTCTTCCTCAAATTTAATACTCTCTTCAGATTTCATATATCTTTAAACTTTTGTCCTTGTTACAAACACATCAAACCACATTCTTTTAAAAAAATTTAAATTTGTTTTAATTAGTTATACATGACAGTAGAATACATTTATGAACTTTGATATATCATACATAGATGAAATATAATTCTCATTTTTCTGAGTATACATGTTGCAGAATCATATTGGTCATATCGTCACATATATACATACAGTAATATTGTCTGTTTCATTCTACTGTTTTCCTATCTCCACATCCCTACCTCTCCCCTCCCATCACTTCCCTCTACCTAATCTAAGGTAATGCTATTCTTCCCTAGTGCCCCCCCCCCCTTATTGTGAATTAGCATCTGCATATTAGAGAAAATATTTGGCCTTTGGTTTTGTGGGATTGGCTTATTTTACTTAATATGATATTCTCCAATTCCAACTATTCACTGGCAAATGCCATAATTTCACTCTTCTTTAAAGCTGAGTAATATTCCATTGAATATATATATCACATTTTCTTTATCCATTCAACTATTGAGGGACACCTAGGTTGGTTCCATCATCTAACTATTGTGAATTGAGTTGCATTCTTAGTAGAATGAAGAAGCAGTGAGGGAAAGAAGAATTGGGGGAGGGGAATGGAACAATCACCAAAGGACACCGTGTTTTGGCTTGTGCAATGTAAGGTAAATGTTTTCTTTAGACTACAGAGAACTTTATGTCAATAAAAAGTGACACAAAGGGCTGGGAATGAACTTAGTAGTAGAGCCCTTGCTTAGGACTTGTGAGGCCCTGGGTTCCATCTTAGCATCCCCTCTCCCACCACATACACAATGACACAAAACATAACCTATTGATAGTTGAAATTCAATTTGAAATGTGCATTTTAAATAAAATCATCTTCGGGAATGTGACTTTGCCCCGAGCTGACAAGTAGACTTATTTTTTCTCATTATTTTACCAAGTTTGCTTAACAAAATCATGCAGTAGAATCTATTATTATTATTATTATTATTATTATTATTATTATTATTATTATTATTTTAGAGAGAGAGAGAGAATTT